GAATGAATAAAAGTCAATACGGCTTGCCTATTGCCATTCCCAGGATATAAATTATTGATATCAAGAATAATATTTTTTACTAGTAGAAATGTAATTGCTGATATCAAAAATTCAATTTCTGCGAGTGATGATGTCATTGTTGATATCAAGAATTAACATTGTTACTAGTGGAAATGTAATTGCTGATATCAAAAATAGCAATTGTTACTAGTAGAAATCTAATTCCTGATATCAAGAATTAACATTTTAACTAGTAAAAATTGAATTGTTGATATCAAGAATTCATATCCTGAGAATGAATAAAAGTCAAAACGGCTTGCCATAGTGTGTGTGTGTGTGTGTTCACTACTGTGTGAGTGCACTTGGATGGGTTAAATGCAGAGCACAAAATCTGAGTATGGGTCACCATACTTGGCCACACGTCACTTCACATTTCACACACTTAACTTTCTTCCGTGAAACACAAAAAGTGGCCAATTACTCTCATTGCATATTTATTATAATGGATTTACAGGTGACCAAGGCTGTCATTGTGCCTAAAACCTCCTATGGAACGACAAGAGGGTGAGTTAATGACATTTTTGAGTGAAATATGCGCCTTGTTCGACATCAAACTAAATAAATTTCAGGCACAAACTTTTTATGTCGTGATGTCAAATCAGTCGCTTGACATCCGCATAAATGTCGTTTGCTTAGTGGCCTGTGTGAAGGCAGCATTTTTTTTTTGATGCAAAATTCATTTATTTCATTGGTGTATCGCATACAGCGCCGAGACGGTTCTTCATGCTGATTGGCTCAAACGAGTGTCCGTTATTGAAATCCAGAGTCGCGATTGGTCAACCTCCTGTCAACGTTTATCCGTTTGTGTTTGTCAACGTTCAAGGCTGTGCCTGATCTCATTGGCTGATCCGCGGCTTCTGTCAGTGGTTTCCTTGCAGCGGATTGGCTAAAAGGGTCGCGCGTGTGACCCGCCTTGTTCTACCTGTCTCGCCATGAGAGGCTGAAAGATTCTTCCTGCTGTATGGAACAGAACTGCCCTATTCTTCCCCCTCCTATCAGTGAATACCGTGTGTCGAGTGGTACAAGCCGGTTAGCATGCCGCTCAGACGCGGAATCTACTGCAAATAAATCCAGATTGTTCAAACACAACGCCAAATACCTGCAGTTTGGAGCAAAGGCCTGGTTGCGCAGAAATATTGGCGCCGAGGAGGGAGCGAGTTGGTGGAAAGAGGGGTGCGTGGCGGTGGGAAGTGCTCTTCTAACCAAATCCTCCAGAACATGGCGGAGCACCACACCGCCTCCGACTGTAAGCACAAAGCGAGCTCCAACGCCGGAGGTTCGGTTTCGGGCAACGGACGGCCCAGCTCCCCGGCTGGATGCGGCGGCAGCGGAGGAGGCCTTTCCGGGGGACTGACGCAGCCGGCGGGATGGCAGTCTTTGCTGTCTTTCACCATTCTCTTTCTGGCCTGGTTGGCGGGGTTCAGCTCGCGACTTTTCGCAGTTATTCGCTTCGAGAGCATCATTCACGAGTTTGACCCATGGTGAGTATAAATGCGGGCAGGGGGATTGTGGCGCATTTTTAATCTGACGTTCGGGGTTGTAATGCACGATTAATATCGCTGTGAATGATGTCAGTGCGTGTTGCACAAAGCTGCTGCGATCCTCCATTCATCTCAGTGTAATTGTCTCAGGAAGCGTTTTGCCTCTGTGCAGTAACTTGCGTCCATGCTTGACAATTTTGACACGTAACCGCATGGCTGCCCTCCATCTTTTTATAATTCCAGTAAACTAAATTGATTGTGATAGTGATGATGCTTGCGATATAGCTGCTATTTTAATTTAGGACGACTGTTGATTACAATCTGTTGGGGTATAATTAATATTACAGCAAGGTATCGTAAAACTCCAAACGAGGAAATGAACTATTGTATCTATTCATCTGCATTTATGGCAAGTGGTTTAGCATTTATTACTTAAAACGTCCTGCAATGTATTTGTTACTGTTGCTCATTGTTGATTACTATTAAGTAATTCAATAGTGACTAAATGCTAACTAACGTCATTAGTCCTAGTATATATTCAATTATTCGTTACATACTGCCTACTAGTTCCACTTACAGCCACTGTGATAGTGACAAATTATTAACTATTAATTGTAATGCACACAAGTGCTAGTGTCTTGTCAGTTAGTACTAGGAGAACAGGAACTAGCAACTATTTTTGTAGCTACAATTATGCAATGAGTAGTTACTTGTTCATATGATTAGTAAATGGTAAAACTGGAATAGCCACTACTTGGAAGTTGGAAGTGAATAGTTCATCTGAACCACACATCACTATAGTGTCCAATAGTTACCTTTTACTATTGGGATAGTGACTAGAAACTAAGGAGTAAGTACTAGTATCTATCTAATATATTTAGTTAAAATGAACAAAGATATTTTACAGTTAACACATCATATGGATCATTGTTTGTTACTATTGCTTATTGTTGTTAATTACTGGTAAGTAACTCAATAGTGACTATAAGCTAACCCGTAACAATGGAATAGTCACTGTGATATATCACTGTGATATCCTGGTACTATTAATGTGCATTTGTAGTTTATTTATAAAATATCCCTATGTTTCATAACAATGTCAGATTTGCAGATAAGTGTAATTCTCTTGATCTGCAGAGCTGTCAAATGCAAGTTCCTAAATTTCTGCGTTATAGCTAATGGTGTATTTTTAGCACTAAAGTGTTTAATCCATTCATGAATCATAGGTTTGAATTAAACCCCTTGTGTTGTAATTACATTTGACCAGTTTATGGGAAAAGTATTCTTAAAATGCATTCAAAATTCGGAATAATTTGTAATATATAATTATTCACGGTATTTAGAAGTGCCCACGATATCGTGCATATTCATTACCATGATATATCGCATTACCGAATACTGGCACAAGTCTACATCCAAATGAGACTAAAAAGCATTCACTTCCCTTTTCTTTAACATATAGCTTACTGTCAATTATTTCCTTATGGCCTCGGTTAAGAGCAGTGAAGGTATACCTGTTTATGAAAGCCTGCTTATATAGAGTCTCAAGCTGGTATATGAGGCTTTATGAATTTAGGTCAACTTCTGATTTTATCATAATTGGAAACTTTATGGTCACGCTTCTCACCGTGACAGATTCTTTAAACACAATAATGGTATAATAAGGCATGTGTTAGACAGCAGTGATGCCACATTTAGCATATAGAGAGAATAACAGCTGGAACATCCTTTCACGGTATGGTCCCAATTTTCAGATTTACAGTCATAACTGCTAATGTTGAGGGTCATGGTGCTCTGCATTCATTAGTCTGAATGGAAGATCAAAGAGTGTTATCTTTATGCTTAAACAAGCTAACTCATAACCTGCCTCATAGGCTAAAATGAATAATTTTCAGAACGTCTTCATGCAAAGCTGGTGAATATGCTAGAGTATAGTTTTTTGGATGTCTGCCAGTCATGAGTTTCTTTTAGGTTAAGCGTGGACAAAGGTAAAGCTTGGTCATTACTAGTGTCCGAGACGGCAAAAAAAAAAAAGGTTTTCGGTTACAGTTTAATAGTTCTCAAGGGCCAAAATCACTGACCATTTATTGAGTAGTACTTTATTCTAGAGTAGAAATATGTACATTTTTTCAATGTTTGGACCCTCGAATGGGAAAGTGTCCAAACTTTTGACTGGTACTGTACTATAATGTACACAAAAAATATCGGCCGATATATCGATAACAGCTTTTTTTTACTCCCTAATATCGGTATCGGCCCCCCCAAAAAATATCGGTCTGGCTCTAAACTTTACTACTAATTGTTTATTTGTTTAATTACAGATTATAATTGTTTAAATACAGATACAGATTTTGGTTTCTGGCTTTTTTTTTCGTCATTTGGCCAGATGTATTTTGTAGCCTTGATTAGTACTTGTTCTGCTATTGTGAAATTTGGTCATGGACTTGGTACCTGTTTTGTGGTTTTCATATTACAGTGTTGTTTATGTGCACTTTTACAATTCAATATAATACTGATTTGTGTTCGTTGGTATCCACATCCTGAATTTTGCAACGCTTTCTTGATCTGGAAATCTCTGATCTGATTGACTGAATAGATGCAACTTTCTGGAGTTAGGGCACACAGGGTTGTTGTTTTTTTCTGTTCATTTTTCTGTCCGTTTTAAAGTTACCTTTCTGATGCAATGAGCACTAAAGCTTGACATAATCAATATTGGTCAAAGTTTGCAACATTGGTGTCTTTGAGATGTTTGAAAGATATTCAGAAATTTGTTTGAGACTCTTAGTAGCATGTTAACTAGACCTCCATAAGCAGAACTGAAATTCCTCTACGTGGTCTATTATTGCACATAAATGCAAAATGAACTGTATATGGTTGCTTTGTGTTGGCCAGACAGCATGTTTGCGTAGGAAGTAGGTTTTACAGTCTACTTGATAGAGTTGGATACTACAGTCCAGGAATGCCTACCAGCAAACAACAGAACAGAGACTTGATGACCTCCAGCCATTTAATCTATCTATATGTGTGAACACCCCTTAAATCTGCACATGACCATTCATTTGCATGCTCAAGAATGTGCTCTCAGGGTTGCATTGGCTCTATGAGTGGAGACATAAATGGACTGCACCACTTGCATGAGTAGATTTAATTAGCAAACGGGGCTTTTCTGAGTTTTATTGGGATGGTCTTCTAAACCATTTACATATAATGGCTCAGCCAGCCGTGCTTGTGTCATTAGCCCATTTCCATTCAGAGCATTCATAAAACACACAGCAAATCCTGAAATGGCATGATAATTTATTTAGCATGATGCTACTTTGTTCCTTGTGATGCTATTGCACACTTGGGCAAGTCTGTTGGCATCTGTTAATGCTGAAGTGTGCTGTGTGGTTTTTTTAAACATTAAAATAATTTAAATTTTTTTATTTACATTTTTTCTGTCCCTGCTTGTTTGAGCAACCTAACACAGTAGAATTGGCTGAACCAATTGCATATATTTGAGAAATCTGTCTGGCCGAATAAAGTCAGATGGAAGTGAAACCGGGTTTTTTTTTTTTTGCATTTCAGAAATTATTCACTTCACCTTTAATGAAATGTGTTAATATATGAATAGTTGTGCATAACATTTGTCTATGCTATGTATTAAATACTTTTTTTTTTTTAAGCTTGTGTCATTGGTCTGATTGCGTAATTTCCTCTAATCCTTTTCAGTCATTTCTGCCTTTTTGTGCAGCTGGAGACAATTCAAACAGTCTCTGATGTAACCTACTGATTGCATTTTTAAGAATTAAAATTGTGTTTGTTCATGCCGTTTATTTTGCTGTGAATAAGAGACTCAATTCTTGTGATTCATAGTGTTTACCTTTTGTTTGTCTGCACACATGCGACTGTCCTCTGAAGTGTGGCATTGACACCTCTCGGGCTATTGTGTGCTCTCTTTCAGTAATCTACTTTGACATGCAGGAGGAGTTTTTCTTTTTTCGTTGGCAGGCGTGCATTGGCTCAGATTGATTTTCCAGCTCTGTTAGTCATATGAATGTTGAGAAGCTTTTAACTGTGAGTGTGAGTGCTCAAGTCCTTTGTAGAGGTTAGGATGCAGGTAACCCAGAGAGGGTTATTGGTTTTCTGGGTGCAAATTGGGATCCGAGCCCGCTGACACTCGCTGGTCATTCAGCATGCAAAATATTTGAATATTATATTCTGGACTTCAACAATAGAAGACTTGTAACATGCTTAAATAAACACCTACAGGCTTTTGAAATGTAATGTTATAGCTCCAGTTGCACCAGGTGGAGTTTTTTTGAATGTTGGTTTCAAATACGGAAGGAAAGTTTATTCGACCTGTCTTTGTAAATAACACCATTTAAAATGGTTTGGAGCCTGACCGAGTGTCATAAGTGTTTGGAAATTAATTACTCTGAGAGCACCTTACTTTCAAATGCTTTGTTCAAACAGCTTTTTTTTTCTCTCTGTTTCCAGCCAGGAGCTTCATTGATTTGAGAGCTCAAATGAGTAATTGTTTCATGTCCAGATAATTTCACTGCAACACACACACTTTGGTTCTCTGGGTGTCTCAGTTAGATACAGGACACTGCCCCGAGCCTGCTCTGTCCTTTCTCATTTTTGGATGCTGGAGTGCTGTGTTTCCTGTTCTGCTTTTCTACTCTTAATTCCTCTAGTGTATTCTGTCTATCGTTTTTCTCTCTTGCTTTGGCTTGTGCACTTCTTTCAACCTCTTAAGGCAAATAACAAAGCCTGCTATTAAGGCTGGAATGAAAGTGGAAATGTGTCAACCGGTAGAGTTTTTTTTATATGCTGTTTTTATCGCAGAAGGCATACTTTTGCTGCTGTTATTTACATGCAACAAAATTCTGGGAGTAAAGTGAAAATACAGAGGAAGACCTGAATAAGTCAGGATGAAAATGAATTGAATGTACTTACGATCACCGGTACTGATCTTTTTAAAGGGTTAGTTCACCGCAAAATGAAAATTATGCTGT